TCCTTTACGATACCGGATGTCATAGTCGTACTGCTGAAGCTCGAATACCCATCTCCCTAGGCGACCGGTGGGAGCTTCCAGTCTCTGCAGCCATCGAAGCGACTGGTGATCGGTGACAACCGTGAAGTGATAACCCTCCAGATAGTCGCGCATTCGACGGATTCCCCACACTACCGCCAGACATTCTAGCTCTGTAGCGCTGTAGTTCCTTTCTGCGCTATTTAGTGTACGGCTGGCGTAGGCAATGACGCGTTCGCCTTCGGATAGTTCTTGGGTGAGCACGGCACCTAGCCCACACGTGCTGGCGTCGGTCTGGAGGGTGAATGGTCGGCTGAAATCGGGACAAGCAAGAACTGGTGCGGTGGTGAGCGCCCGCTTCAGCTCGTCGAAAGCCTTTTCTTTCTGGTCCCCACGCAAAACGTGCTCTTTTTTGGGTCAAGCGTGTCAACGGTGCGGCGGTGGTGGAGAAGTCTGGTACAAAACGGCGGTACCAGGAGGCGACGCCGAGGAATTGGCGCACTTGACGTACGGTTGTCGGGGTCGTCCACGCGGCTACCGCGCTGACCTTGTCTGGGTCAGTTCGAATGCCGTCTTTGTCCACTATATGCCCCAAATATTTGAGACGGCTGCAACAGAAGTGGCACTTCTGTGGGTTAAGGCGGAGGCGCGCTTGTCTCAACCGTCTGAAGACCTCGGCCAAATGTTCCATATGGGTCTCCAGTGACGAGCTGACTACGATGATGTCGTCGAGGTAGACCAATACGTGTGGCTCGAGTTCCGGGCCGAGGACACTATCCAGCAACCGCTGGAACGTGGCCGGTGCCGAATGTAACCCAAAAGGCATGACTTTAAATTGGTAGAGTCCTCGCCCAGGAATTGTAAAGGCGGTGGCTGGACGGCTGACCGGATCTAGTGGCACCTGCCAATATCCGTCCTTTAAGTCTAGTGTTGAAAGGTACTGGGCCCCTCGGAGCTTATCGAGGGTAGCGAGGATGTGCGGCAGTGGGTAGGCATCTTTGTCGGAGGCTTGATTCAACTTGCGGAAATCGATACAAAATCGGTGTCCTCCATCCTTCTTCTTGACGAGGACTACGGGGGAACTCCAGGCGCTGTTGGACGGTTCGATCACTCCGGCTTCCAACATTTTATTCACCTCGCTATCAATGACGGCCTGCATGGCCGGATTACGGGGTCGGTATCTCTGCTTTATTGGGGCTCCAGGCCGCAATCTGATCTGGTGTTTGGTGCGATCGGTGGGCCCCTGCACGGACTCAAATAACCGGAGTTCGGTATCCAAGAACTGCCGGAAACGCTGGTCTTCCTCTGGTGAGCGTGGGGAGATTCCGGCGGACAGTTTGCCGTAGACAGACGCCACCTGGGACCGGAGCCGTCCTCCCTGGTCGGTTGGATGGGGGAGGCGGCAGCGTAATGCGTAACCGAGCCCATAGGTCGACTCCGATTAGTACCTCGCTGCTGAGGTTATCCAGGACCTGGAAGCGGTGGCGGACAGAGCGAGGGCCGACTCGGATGGCGAAGCGGATCGAACCGGAGGTGGGTGCCTTGGAGCCGTCGGCTAAGTTGACCGGTTCTTCGGACGGCTGGATCTGGAGGCCGCGATCAGACAAGCGTTTGGCCATGGCGGCGTTCACAAACGACACTTCGGATCCGGAATCGAGAAGTGCCCAGGTGTTGAATCGGTGAATCTGGACTGGTAAATGCGGCCGCGGTGTGTACTCTATCTGGACGCGGGTCGGACGATGGCCGCCTCGTTTCCGACCCGCCGGTCGTTTTCCGTCGGAGGGTGGCAGTCTCGCGTTAGGACGCCATCCTTCCCGCACTGCGAGCAGAACTTCCGTGCTGGGCGGCGACAGTCGAGTCGTGTGTGCCCTCGCTGTTTGCATCGCCAACAGCAACTCGCACGGTCATAGGTAGTGGCGGCAAGATTCGCCTCGGTGGACCGTAATGTTTCGCGGCGTTGTTCTTGGCGACGCCGGTGGATTTCCTCCCACTCGGCGGCACGACTGCATAGCGCGGAAACGGAGTGCAGTTCGTCCAATCGAACGTATAGCTGGAGTTCCGGGTCGGCGTTTTCGTATAATTGCTCGAGCCGTTCCTGGCTAGTGTAGCCGCCAGCCCGACGCATCATTGTCTGTACGGCGGTAGCGTATCGCGTAAACGCCTCTCCTGGCTTCTGTCGCCGGCCTTGTATTTCCCGTCGTAATTGTCGTTTGTACCCGGGTGATAGATACTGGGCCAAGAAATCCTTTCGGAACCCGGCCCATGTGGACCACTGTTCTCTGGTGTTTCGCCACCACAGAAGGGCGTCGCCCTTTAACAGCTCGGACAGACCGGTGAGAAGATTGTGGTCTTCCAGACCATAGGCCACACTGAGTTCCTCCAGATGCTCGAGGAAAGCGAGGGGGTCCTTACCATCAAAATGGCATCCCCATTTGCGTATCTGGTTGAGGGCCTTAGCCGGGTCGGCTTCTGGTGGTTCGGGGGTTCCGCGTGCACTCCGGTAACGTTCTTCGCGGCTAAGCGGCGCGTGGAGCGTTTCGGCCGCTCCGGTGTTTGGCTGATTGGCCATTACGTGGTCTCTTATGCGGCGGCGGAGGTCGATTAATCTCCCTTCTGGGTCTAGATCGCGGGTGGCGAGGTATCGGACGGCTTCCTCTTTATCTAGGCGGTAGATCCACCCAAGCATGTGGATTGCAAACCGGAGTCTCAGACGGTCGAGTCAGGTCCCTGTTCGGGCGCCATGTAACGAAGCACCTTTCCCGACGCCACGGATCGGCTCGTCGGTGCCAGGATTCGGGAAGAGGGGAGACTCAGATTTACAATGACACACGGTTGCTCTGGTAAAAGTAGAGTTTATTCGGGGCCACCTTCCTGTGGTTCTCCCGTGATTCAAACCATTATACACAGCACAGTATAATCGGACGAAACGCGACCAGATGATACAGACGCGTACACGACTTATTGCTAGGATTGACAGATAGAAATATTACGGACGAGACGCGACCAGATTATACGGACGCGGACACGACTTATTGCTAGAGTTTCCAACGCGGACACGCGTACGGGCGCCCTGAGAAGGGCGAGCTCCGTCGGGCGCCGGTGACTTTCAGGTAGGACCCGGTGACCGAGGACGCTCGGCCTGCACGACGAGAACGCTCGTCGGCCGGGGTGATTTACGGACAGGACCCGGTGACCGAGGACGCTCGGCCTGCACGACGAGAACGCTCGTCGGCCGGGGTGATTTACGGACAGGACCCGGTGACCGAGGACGCTCGGCCTGCACGACGAGAACGCTCGTCGGCCGGGGTGATTTACGGACAGGACCCGGTGACCGAGGACGCTCGGCCTGCACGACGAGAACGCTCGTCGGCCGGGGTGATTTACGGACAGGACCCGGTGACCGAGAACGCTCGGCCTGCACGACGAGAACGCTCGTCGGCCGGGGTGAGTTACGGACAGGACCCGGTGACCGAGAACGCTCGGCCTGCACGACGAGAACGCTCGTCGGCCGGGGTGATTTACGGACAGGACCCGGTGACCGAGGACGCTCGGCCTGCACGACGAGAACGCTCGTCGGCCGGGGTGAGTTACGGACAGGACCCGGTGACCGAGAACGCTCGGCCTGCACGACGAGAACGCTCGTCGGCCGGGGTGAGTTACGGACAGGACCCGGTGACCGAGAACGCTCGGCCTGCACGACGAGAACGCTCGTCGGCCGGGGTGATTTACGGACAGGACCCGGTGACCGAGGACGCTCGGCCTGCACGACGAGAACGCTCGTCGGCCGGGGTGAGTTACGGACAGGACCCGGTGACCGAGGACGCTCGGCCTGCCACGACGAGAACGCTCGTCGGCCGGGGTGAGTTACGGACAGGACCCGGTGACCGAGAACGCTCGGCCTGCACGACGAGAACGCTCGTCGGCCGGGGTGAGTTGGAGTGTGGGAGTTGAGGAGTGATCCCTGAGTACGCTCGAGGGACCAGGACGGGACTGGTGTCGAAGTCTCGGCTGCGCCGCTCTTTATACCCGTCGGCCACCCCACTCTAAGACTAGCTTGGAGGGGGTCGAGTGACGGGTGGGGGCGAAAAGGCGGATTCCCAACGTATTCGTGTGGTGGCCCCGAAAGGGGCCGTTTACACGAGCGCGGGCGACTAGTGACGGCTAATCGGGTCGTCACAGCTTTAATCAAGTAATTCACGATGAACGAATTTATACAACGTAATATCGTTAATGTTCGAAGGAAAACTATCGGTATTTATTGTCACTCCGAACGTTCGCAAGAATCAACTGTTAGATTCAAAAGTCTAAAAAATTCGAGTCATCTTAAAACCGGAACTTTCCGCTGGCGCCGGATGTTGGTGTCGCTGCGTGGCGCTGTTGTAGCTCGTCAATGAAGGGATCGCTACAGTACTTGTCTACACGTAAAAAGAACGTGTGCATGTTGCATGTCTGTGTGTGAATGTTCGTGGTCTGTCGTGGTGTGCTGTTTGTCGTGGTCGTATTTTCGCATCGCCTGTCGTAATTTTTCCAGGAATGGAAACGGGTCCTGAGATGGCTCCTCCTGGCTGAAATATTCGCCGGGTATCCTCAGTTGCGTCCCGTACACGAGTTCGGCAGCAGATGTACCGATGTCTTCTTTTATGCGTTCCGCAGTCCAAACATCACTACGGGCAGGACTTTTACCCAGTCGGTCGTCTCGTGACATTTGATTACGGTCTTCAGGGAACGATGCCAGCGTTCGATTGTTCCGTTTGCCTGTGGGTGGTACGCGGTTGTTGTTGTGTCCTGCAACCAATTAATTTTGTTAACGCTTAAACAATCGTGCTTCAAACTGTGGTCCTCTGTCAGTTGTGATGACAGTTGGTGAACCGAATCGTGCTACCCAGGATCCGAAAAATGCGTGCTGCCATGGTGTCCACGGTGATGTCTGGAATACGGAACCGCCTCCGGGGGGCCGTCTGGTAAACCTGTCGATCATCGTTGACAGTAACGGTAACCTCGTGATGGTGGTAGTGGTCCTACGATATCCAAGTATATGTGTGCGAATCTGTCTTCTGGTACTTTAATGTGTTCCGGCTTCCTTCTAACATGTCTGCTAATTTGGCCTTTGACATTGCAGGCATGTACGAGCCCATTCGCCGATGTCCTTGTTTATGGCCGGCCACACAAATTTGGACGCTATGTTCTTCCTAGTCACCCTGCCGCTGGAGTGAGCTGTATTATGGACGACATCGAAGATCCTCTTTCTTAGGGGTTTTGGAATGTAAGGTCTGATGCTGTCCGTTGATACGTCGCAGTATACTGTGGTTTCCGTGCCCTCTAATCGTAATTGTTTTAATTGCAGTTCACCTGGATTTTGAGGAGGCTTTTAAGCTCCTCGTCCGTCTGCTGTTCCGCCGCTATGTCCTCTGTCGTGATGATGACAGGCAACGTGATGTCGTTCATTCGTGATAGTGCGTCAGCTACGTTGTTGTTCCAGGCCTGAGATGTGTCGTATATCCGTCGTGAACTGGCCTATGAAATCCAAGTGCCTTTGTTGTCGTGGCGTGGCTTTGGTTGGTCGCTGGTCGAAAGCATACGTCAACGGCTTGTGGTCCGTGAATATTATTGTTTCTCTGCCTTCAATCATGTATTTAAAATAATGTATAGCAGTGTACATAGCCAATAACTCACGATCGTATGTGCTATATCTCGTCTGTGTTTCTGTGAGTTTTCTCGAGAAAAATCCAAGTGGCTGACGTTTTCCTTCATTTATTTGTTCTAGGGCTCTTAATATATAGCGCTTATGTTTTTTGCCTGTTTAGCATTTCTAAATTTTGCTTTTACAAGCCATGCCTCATAATTGTTTCAATTTGTTTAATGTTATTGTATTGTGTTTTGCACTGCTTCTGTAAAATAAATTTTATGATATAGTTTTACATATATGTATATATGCATGGTGTAAATTATCAAATAATATGTACAGATTAAATTAATACTCACTTATTATAGCAGCAGAAATACGTAGTAAGAAAAATTTATTTTTTCCTTTTAATCCTATCCAACTATATTGTTCTGCCACTTTATAGAAAATAATTGAATCATTTTTAATAGTATGTTATACATAGCTCCACCAATTTTTGATAATTCAATTACCTATTAAAGTAAAATAATATATTATAATAATATTTATAAAAATTTTATTTTTTTTATATAAATTCTATTTTTACAAGCATATTAGTATTGTTTTCGTCCATCAATTACTCTTCTACTAGCATTTAATTCGCTAATGTTTTTCAGAGGAAATCAAATTTTTAAAAAATACTATTTTCATCATCATCTCTTATTAATATTCTATCCTTTTGTGATCTAATTTTTCTTAAAATTATACATTTAATTTTTTCTGTGCAGAATGAAAGGTGAGATCGAAAATCTAGAATTTAATGTCGGGATGTATAGACGTGCAGTCGAAGAATTTACTTCGACGAATGATCGGAGGATGCGGTGGCCCTCGACGGCGGGAGGATAAGGAAAATTAAGGAAAATATTGAGGCGGACAAGATTCCAATACGCTCATCTTCTCGATCATTTGCCTCAAGTGAAGGACCAGGAGAAAGAGATCGGCGGGAGATGTCTTCTCTTTAATCACGCGCGGTCATGTCTTTAAAAAAAAATTATAAGGAAACTATAAAGAAACAAATAGAGAAAAATACTGCTGAGAGTAATATATAAAAACTATTTAAACACTACTAAATATATAGATTATCTAAAAATTGTATTCGTATAAAATATACTATAGAGTTTATAAAAATATTATTAGATTAGATTAGATGTGTATTCCGGACTTCCCTCCTCACTTCATCCATATTACAATATCTTACAAACACTTATACAATCTCTCTTCTCATCCTTAGCTGACCTTAAGCGACCTCACAATTCTTTAAAAAATCTTCCTCTGCCTCTCTCCTCCCTCTTTCTTCCTGGTCTTTATTAGGGATGGGCGATTTTTTTCAAAAGTATCGATTTTTTAAATCGATCTAGATCG